TTTAAATTATAATGTAGTGAAAATAATAATTCATCTATAAAAAGGTTTATTGTACGTGTTTTATTCATTAAAAACCCATAACATTTTAATATGAAAGCCAACAAAATAATGATTAATCGAGCATTAAAAGTGGTTTTTAAATTTTTTTATAGTCATTTTTTGTTTTTAAATTAATTTATGAATTAATTGTCTTCTTTTGTCATAATATTAGATCAAGCCAAGACCTCACAGAATTTAATATTACAATTGAATGTAGTTTAATTTTGTACAAATTATATTCAAAAATTCTAAAATTGGTAAAAATTTGAACAAAACAAAAATGGGACTGACCTTAAGAATAAGAATAAAATTTTTATTATATTTTGCATGTACATGCAATAATTTAAAATTAAATTAAAATAAACTTAAATAATATAAGTGAGGAAAAAGAACGTGTTCATTTCTTTTCGCTATAAATTATCCTGCCGCCGAATTCTTCATAAAAATAATGATAATGTTTTTGATTATGAATCATTTTGAAACTCTCGAAAAAGTTGTAAATAAAAAGCATTCCTAAAAAAAAATTCATTCCATTTTTGGACAAAATATTAAAAAAAAAATTTTTTGTAATGAAACAAAGCGATCAGTGGTAAAAATTCGCAAGCATAATGAATGTGTGCGAACAATGTTACTTATTTTAGATGAATCAAAAAATTGCGTACATCTTTTATTCCAGGAATAATGAAAAACGAATTTGAGACTTTGTCACGTTAAGTAAATAATTTTTTGTTTTTTTTTTTTTATAGGGATATAGAAAATTTTGTTGCATTTCAATTTCTAAGAAGGTTATTGTTATTGAACATATGTGGTTGATTAATAATATTGTCCTCATATTATGATTAGGCTGTTTCATGGGTATCTTTAAGCGTATATGGTGAAAAGTTGGAAACAAAACATATACATATGTTGAATCGGAAAGGAAATAACTTGAAAAGAACATTAAATTAAATTTAGATTATTGAACTTTTTTATTTCTTCTTTTTTTTATTAATAATTGTTTTTCCTTTTATTTTTTCGAGAGCCATATATGAATAATAACTCATTTTTTGCGGTTTCTTATTTCTATTTAGGATTTTTCCATAAATTAAAATTAGATCCAATAAAAGTTGGGTTCTACACTTATGTTCAAGTTACTTTTTATTTTTTTTCTGTATTCCATTTGATGCAGATGAATTTGAATCTATAATAAAAATAATGCAGAAAAATTTCCTTTACAGAACAACATTAACTAAAATTAATGAAATTGTTGTTATAGGACTTGAAGTTATATAAGAAACATACCACTTTATGTGTATGTTTAACGGTAACTCGCCGAATATTATTGACACAAAACCACCTCTATGTTGTAATTGTAAAATTAGAATAAAAATAGTGTTCGACCAGGAGTGACCGTTTCTTAATATAATTTTGAAATTGTTGAAATGTAAGACTTTTGCAATCAAATTTTTTCGGAAAAAAAAATCTTTTAAAAATTAGAATTTTAACATGTTTGTGACAAGTTAACTAAAATTGGAACTTTTGCGGCTTTAATTTTTGACTAATTGAGATAAATTGAAATAGATACTTAATAACATAAAATTCAAATTACATCTAAGACGAATAATTTTCAGGAATGAGTGCGAATATATTGATAAATATTATTCAAAATTTCACCAAATAACTTTTCTTAGCAACTTTTCTCGTTACAACCGTAAAAATAAGCTCTTTACGAAATTTTTAAAAGGTCGCCTCAGGTTCATCCATAGAAAAATCTTTCACAATACAATAAATTTTGTAATCATAGAGTTGAACATTTCTAGTATAGGTTGTTTTCTAATCTATGACATTGAATATGAAATAAAATTAGTAAAATATAAGAGACCTACATTTTTAATTTGTTCAAGTTATTTATTCGAGCTATTTATTCGAGAACACCCTAAAGCTTATGAGAGTGTCTATCAAGGCTCCCCAAAAAAAATTTCCTTTTCTTTTATATTCATAAACCTATAAAAGTTTTTTTTTTCGTTTTAGGTATACGAAATTTATTTTGAAAAATAAACCTTTTAAATAAATTAATTTTTTCTTGAATATAAAAGGTGCAAATCAAAGGAATCAAAATCAGATCTATACACATAATATAAAAAAGTAAACAAGAATGAAGCCATGGTGCCGACCTACATTTTATTTTTATAAAAAACAAATCAAAATTATTCGATGACACCGCCATCACCACCACACTTTTATTTTCTATATTCAATTTTCTATATAAATTTTTTATTGTATACCTTTACCTACCTAGCTACCTACCAACCTTCCGTTCTTTGATGACCGATTTTGCATCATTATAACTGTTTTTTGTATTTTTAATATTTTCTTCTTCTCTTTTACATTAACATTATTGTTTTTTAATCATGCAGAACAGATTAATCACCTTTTGCCAAAAGAAAAGCAAAAACAAAAATAAAACGGTGAGAAAAAGAAAAAATACAAAAAATTTATTTTTTTGTTAATGAACTTCGTCGTTTCTGTAGTTTTTTTTTTTAATTTTTTACTTTTTCATAAACGTACATACATACACACGTATGTAAGTATAAGCAGTTTAAAATCTTAACACCCTAGGGTAAAAATTATTAGTCACGGAATAACGGAGAAAAATATCACTTTAAAATTAAAATATTTTAGGTGTAAAAGAGTAAGAGAATGAAAAGCATATTAAAATTAATTTAATAAAAAAAACACGCTCTCTAAACACGACTCTAATGACACTCAACTGAATTCGCTCTGAACTGTGAACTATATATGTATGTATGTATGTATTTATTCAAATTTGCAAGTTTGTGTTATGTTATTATATTGTTTTTTTATAAAAAGTTGTGTAGATTCTATAGTACATAGACTGCACATATAATTACATACATCGCACATTCATAATGCTTTTCTTTGTACGTACATTAAGAAAGAAAATTTTAAAGGGTTCGTCCATTCATTATTGCATTAATGTAAATTTCGCATATACGTATGTGCATACCTACATATATATTTTGTTAATTAACTGAAATGGAGTTGAAATTTTTATTACAATGCACGTAATTATTTAAATAGTCTACCGCGGAACAGCACTCACTTTTTCACATTTTTAGTATTATTTTCTTTTAGATATGGTAAGCTGCGTAGAGTTCTAGAATTTAGCAAATTTTAACTCTTTATAGTTTGTATCGTTAGAAGAAGATCATCTCTTGAATTCTGAAAAATTTGAACTTTTGGCGCTATATAATTTCGAAACTGCAAGTTTTTCTTAAATTTCTATTTAAAGGAGAAAGTCACTTATTAACAGCCACATTTGAAAATTATGTTAACGCTATTCGAAATTTTTTTTCTGGCCCTAAAAGTATGCATTAAATTGATATACTTTTATATATAAATAAAAGTAATTTAAATAATGTGGTAGATTGTTTTTAAAAACAGTATTTTTTTATTTTGGATTTCTTTGCAAAAAATTGTTCTTATATAGTTGTCATGCTGTTCTTATATGCAAATAAATTTTTCGCCTGTTGACATTGTATTGTTTGTTAATTATGTTTTGTTTTCCGTATATGCAAGCAAATTAAATTTCACGCAGAAAATGTAGTTGTTACCTGATGGCTCTGTTTCCATTCACAGAAATAGCTAGGTTTTTAAAAAAAAACTATAATTTTTATTTGTCAACAAGATACTTAAGTAGTTACAATACAATATAAAGTGACATTTAATCTGTTGAATATTCTTAATTCAATTCTTGCTTAAATTTTCTTGACTTTCTTTGCTTCTTTATACGAAATTTGAATTTATTACTCATCTACATTTCAACTGAAATATTGTGTGTCAAAATATTGATAACAAGATTTTTGATGTACAAAAATAAATTTTTAGGACGAATTCTAGATTGTGGGTGGTTTCCAAAGAAAAAAGGAGGTAAAATATAAATTTAGGTCATTGTGTTTTTGATTTTGAAATTTTTATAACCATCTGGAATATAAGAATTAAAACTCTTCTTAATTATTATTATTATTTTTTCTTTATTTTTAACTTTATTAAAATAAAATTTTTCATTTTTTATTAAAAATAATTATTGCATAGGAATTGAGCTTTGCTTTTTCTTAATATTTTTTTGTTTTTTTGTTTTCTTCTTTACAATCGAACTGGAACATAGTATTTAATACTCTTAAACAATTTTTATTAAATATCTTAATTTTGTATTTTCATTTTTTTTTCTTTTTTTAATTAAATATACATAATTTCCTTAATAGGAATCAATTAATTATTAATTTACCAATTAATTAACAAACTTTCACAAAAATATAGCAAATTTATTTTTATTAATAATTTTTTTTTTGTTTATTTTCTTTGAAATTTGGCAAAAATTATTTTGGTAAAGCGAGTATTTTATTTTTTTTTAATTTTTCTTTTCAATAATTAATATTATTGCGATTATTGGTTTATACATTGTTTTTGTATTCTAAAGGAAGAATATTAATGATTTTTAATAAATCGAAATTGATTATAGGCATGGAAATGCGGGAGGGCAAAACATTATATGAACAAAAACCGATTCTAATTATTTTGAAGTTAAGCAGCGTTTTTAAGCGAGATTTATTTGACAAGTCCTTGATTGCTGTATGCAGTTAATTGTTTTAATCCTTTCTCTGAATTGAGTTTTGTAGAGGTGCAAAAAACTTTATTCTCAAAACTAAGATATTATTTTTTTATTATATAGAAAACATAGAAAGCAGTAAAGGCTTGCATATTCTTAGCAGCAGTTTATAGGTTTGCCATGATATGTAATAATTTTGATATGTTTAATAATAATTGTTATTATAAGCAAAATTAAAAAAAAATGTCAATGGAACCAGCGCAATATAAAATAATAACGTAGGCTCCATTTGAATTACGATATTTTGTTCATTAAAATCTGAATTTACCGCAAATGTTAAAAAAAGGAGAAAATCATATACGTATAAAAGCTTGAAGATGGCAAAACCATTTTCACCTGATAGATTTAGCAATTGAAATTCAGAGTAATGGTTCCAACATCATTCGTGTTCTTGAACTTACAAACTATTTCGATATTGTTGAGTACATGTAGAAATGCTTGTTAAAATGCTCATAAAATTAAAAATTATTTACCCAAATTATTTTTCTTTTTAGAATCAATAATATTTTTCCTTTGAATATTCTTAAAATATAACATACATTTATATATGATTGAGAATTATTGGTATGTGTTGTGTATGCTTTACTTATTAAAATTTTTAAAATCTTAATAAATTTGATATTGAGTCACATAATAGATGATCTGGACGGCGAATTCTTATAATACCCTCTTGAAATACAGTAAAATCATCAGCAATATTCATATCAAGTGTCATTAATTTTTCAGCAGCTAATGGATGCCATGCTCCAAATGTACATGCGGCATTTAACTATACATATTAATATTATAAAGAAAAAAGAAAAATAATTAAAAATTAAAGAATTAAGATTATTTATAAAAAAACGGTTTGTATAACAGTTATCATTCACTATTTGTTGATATTTTGAACAATAATTATATATCTACTGCATATGCAGTAGATATATATCTACTGTATATTAGCTTTAACAAATGCTGTAATGATTAATTAAAATAAGGCAAAAATTTAATTTAGTAATTTAAGTTTAAATTGATCTACAATTCTTGGCATGCCTTAAAAGGTATGAGAAATTATAAATTTTCCATTACAAATTTCGGGCTGCATCTCGAAAACCATGGCTCTAATAAAATTAATTGTAAGACCGAAAATAAAGAACAGTCACTGTAAAACAAGCTTCCGACGGCTACTCTATGTCGCATGGTTCTGAAGTTATGTATAAGCGTTAATGTATAAGCATAAAAAATTTGCTACCTTTTTTTTGGATAACAGGTTGTAGTTCGAAAACGAGTATATCTGCACCCCCATCCCACACCCATACAATTTTTTGTTGCAAAGTATAACAATTGTATAACAATTTTTTTGTTTTAAAAACAAAATTTAATGTGCTTTTCCATTGCACTTATTCAACTAGTTCACAGAAACTTTCACATAAAATGCAGATTTTTTTAAGTTTTAGTAAATTCTTAAAGAAGTTTTTATTCAATTAGGATCTAATTATAGATATTAACATTGAAATGCTAGGTAAAAAGCCAATTTAAAAGTTTAATTTACAAAATAAAATTTTCTTTAATTTTTTCTATTTAGTTTTCGTTGAAGAGATGTAAAAAAAAACTTACACTCGTCTTACAAAAATATTTAAAAATTTTTTTTTTATTTTCTAAAATAAAAACTTGTATAACAGATATAAAGTTTGTAAAATGTTTAAAAAATCTTTAACTTTTTTGCTACATAATCTAACTTTTTTTTTACTCAGGAAAACTATGCGTGTATACAAAAACGAAGAGAGCCTATCATACCATGGAGTTAAAGTTATTCAAAACAAAAAAGTTTGCAATAAGGTTTGATATGGTTTTCTTCCTGTTTTTTTTTTTTTCAGTTTGGTTTTAAATTGGTTAAAGAAAGTTTTGTTCGACGTTGCCAAATAAAGTAAATTTTTTTTGGTTTGAAATTTAGATATATTTTTTTTGCAAAAAAACTTTGTGAATCGTTATGATTTACTGTTTGTGTCTTCCCATTAATGAAAACTTTTCCCATTAATGAACTCTTGAAAACTTGGAACTAAAACATTTAATTAAGTGAAATAAGTAATATTGATGAACTAGAATTAGTATAGTGTAATTTCATTTTTGGAAAAGAAGAAATCCTCGCCAACTTCAACAGATTTTGTTAAATTTTTGAATAGTGAGATTTCAATAGTTTTGTATAGTTTTCAAACAATTTTGAATTGAGCAAATTGAATATAAGAAATTATAAAATTTGGAGCAATTTATCTAAATAATTTAAAATCTTGATATGGTTTCCAAACATGATTTCGCAAATTACTCATAGGCTAAAAAATTTAATTTTAATTCATTTTCTGTCATTCTGTAGCAGAGCACATGCTATGAAAATTGCTTGTTGTATATCGTAGATTTGTGCCATTGAAATGATTTAAAAAATAATTTCGGCCGGTATTTCGTTTAGTTACTATACACTTACTCTTATATGAAATGTCTTCAACCCTCAGTATTTTATCTTTATTGAATATCAGGAACTTATTCTGTACAGTAAAATTAGTTGTCTTTATGCCATTTTGTTTTTAAAAATTTATTAAGTTCATATTCTATTAACACATATGTGGGCTCATCAAGAAATTAATTAACTCATAAAATCTAATAATTAGCTTCTATATATACATATACCCGAATATATTCGAATAAGTACATGTACTGTACATGGTAGTTGACAAACTATTAAAATAAATTTTGTATATTATCGTAAAAGAAAAGCCATCAAAAGCAATAAATTACATTTTCATCTCAACACAACCCCTTAAATATCTACCCCTTAAAAATGCTTTAGAGAAGATTCTCTACAGATATGTGTAAATCCAAATTTGAAAAGGATTTCAATAAATTTTGATTTTCAAAATATATACAAACTCATATACATATATAGCTTATACATGTTTATGATATTAGAAAAGGCTTTATCGTTTTTCCCTCAAACATTTAAGGACATCAAAAGGCAATCAGTTTACAATTCAATTCTAAATATCTGACAACATTAATATTTCATATTTTTTTCTTATTCCTTTTATAAGTTCTTCTCATTTTTTACCTCATTCAACTAGATTTTAACTTTAATATTCTTTTGTTGTCTTTTTTGTTTTGTTCTTTTTGCCAAAACAAAAAATGTTTTTTAAAATCCTTTTTCATATTTCCACATGATTGATATGTACATACACATACTTGTACATTTACCTATATGAATATGTAAAAAAAATGTGAATTTAAAAGAGAAAATCGTATTAAAATTTTGACATCAGCGCATATATGAAAAATTTGAATTTTATAAAAAGGACTTAAGATTTCAGGAAGATTTTAAAGAGGAAAATATTTTAGATGTAAGAAGTGCTTTTAAAACTTTAAACCACTTAAAGAAAAATTCAATTTAAAAATAATTTTGGTAAATATGAAAATTTGATTAGGAAAAAATATATTTTTTTTTCTTTTAAAATTATTTATATTTTGAGTTGGTAGATGGCGATATAGGGGTGTGCTTTTGAAAATAGACGAAATGAAAAAATGTGAAGTAGAATATTTTTAGTATTTTTAATGAGATTTTATCGAAAGAGATTATTCAAGTGCGTATAACAAATTAACAATCTATTCGAATTTTTTAACAGAATCATAGTGTCGCAGATTCTGTTTGTACGAGGGTGAGACGCATTAGAATGCGCCGAAATCATAGCCTTGAAATTAAATATATTAAGATAAATCTGATACTTATGGTTCCTTAGTTTTTCGGTGTTATTTTTAATTTGCTGATGTTCGATCCTAATATCGGAATTCAATATTTTACAAATATTAATCAAGAACACGTTTGATAAGAAATTTATTAACTGCTTTTAACATGTCAGTCGGCTGATGAAATTCATGCCCTTTAATTATTTTTTTGGGAACAAATATCGCTCATCTGGAACAATTTGCAATATAATTGGCATGTTAGTGCTTTACGAAACTCAAACCTTTTTTTTAAAATTTATGTGAAGAAATTGTAACAAAGTTTTCAACGATTTAGGAATACTTGTATTTTAGAAAAAATTACGAAAATTAAAATTAACTTATCACAAAAATGTATTTTCTTTTCTGTTGTGAATCGAGGTCCATAGACCCTTCTCACATCGACCTATAGGATCTTTTGTGATTGCCATTCCCATATTTATTAACAACGCACCCAGCTAGGCCTCTGATAACATGTAAAGCAGCCGCCTCATAAAAAAAACCTTACTCACATTTTGAGCAAGTGTTCAATATTTTCTTGTATTTACTAAAAATTAAAATACAAAGGATTCAAAAATTTTTTTATAAAAGTATAAAAATATATAAAAATTTTATGCTCTTTCCTTTCTAATACGCAGGTACTTTTATCAAAAATTCAAGAATCAATCAGATTTCATATAAAAATCAATCAATCATTTTTTTTATCCTTTTCATATATCCTTTTATGTTATTTATCATAATAATATTATGCGTTTATGTTATTTGAAAAGAATTCTGTAAGAAAAAAAGTTTTTCATGTTTTGTGATAGTAACAAGCATTATTATATTTAAGGATTGATTATACGCTTTTAATTCTTATACTGACATTAATTAGAATCATACAAGTATTATTACTCTTGTACATATATCCTTATCACTAATAATAAATTAAAGATTTTGACATAGAGGAATGTACGTTCATTTGGCATTTATAACTTTTATGCACTGTTCGAATTTTTGTTTGATTTTTTGAATTTTCTATGATAAATTTTTAAATTAAATTTGTGATTTGTGTAAAAATAATCTAGGTTTATTATTTAAGGAAAAGTTCTTACTATGTCTTTCTTGTTCGATTAGATATTTAAATTTTCGATTAGACATTGATATTTAGTTCTTTAAAGTGAATTTTTTTGTTTCTTAAAGTGCAAAACATTAAAAATGAATTGAAATTGAATTTATTTTAAAGATTTTCCTACGAAAACATTTTGAAATAAAATGAAAAATAAAAAAAATTATCGAATTTAAATTATCCTAGATTCATTGGAAAATTGAATTTTTTTTTCCATATTCTAAGGATTTTTTTCTAATTCTTACATTTTTTATTTTATTTCAAATTCTTCTTTCTAATGTTTTTTGATTTAACTTTATAATAATAATAATATAAAAATATCCTTGTTAGGATAGTAACATTATCTGTGAGTATAAGCTTGTAATATTTGCGAGTTTTTTCCTAGAAAAACGAGGAGGAGGAGTAGGACAAAAATATCAACATTTTTGATTTAAATTTATGTTTCGAATATAAATTCAATATTTTTAAAATTTATTTGTACGTATATACATACAAATATAATTCTTTGCTATTTATTTTTAGATGATATTTTACGGGAAAATTAGGAGGAAGGGAACTAGAATATTGAAATTTTAATAATAATATAACTAGGTTCTTCCAGGTGAAATGTGAGATATAGTTATGGATTTTGTTTATAATGAATAATTTTATTGATTACTGGAACATATTTACATTTTAATACCGTAAAATAAGCGTTCATGGCATAATTTCGTGGGGAACGATAATAGATATGGGCACTTTGTGTTATAATTGTTCGATCAGTTTTTCACTTTAATGATATTTTCTGTTTTTATAAAAAGGAATGTTTATTATGAACTTAAGTGTGAATTACACGACGGTAACAAAATAACTAGTATCTATAAACAGTGCAAATACTAATACTTCAATTTTATTCGAACTCATTTAAAAAATAAACTGCGATTTTGTTTCTGTGAAAAACCTGTATTTAGTAGTAAAAACTAACTTAAATAAATTTGAATATTGAAAATTTGATATTGGTAATAAATGTACGCAACTATTTCTGCCAAATACTCGTACTAAAGTGTTATATTTCTAGAGTCTTGTATATGTTTTAAGTGTTGTGTACCCAGGATGCTATATAATATTAGTGACTTTTTAAAATATAAAATTTTTAAAATAATTGTGGTTTTTATGCAGCAGTGTAAAATTTAAGTAATTTAAAAAATATTGATCAGAAATTTAAGACCCCTGCCAATCTACTCTATGGAAATAATATTGCTGCGCAAAGAAATTTGCGGACAATTGCTGAATCTTTTGTGTTTCTCTTATACGCACACATTTACTAGTATGTATTGAAAAATCCATGAAATATTTTTGATATTAAAACAAAATTAAATTTTTTTTGGAAAACGACATTCAAATCTAAAGTTTTTCAAGTTTTTTTTTTGTTCTTCTTTTTTATGATGATTCGAAAACAATTTTGGTTTTTCTATTCTGTTTTTAAAGGATAATTTTTTTTTAAGTGATATCTTTCTGAAGATTTTTGTATGTGAATTGTTATACATATTGCTTCTATAATAGAAAATACATAAATACATACATATATGTTGTAAAGATTTTTTTTAAATATTTTGCAAGGATATTATACAATAATAAAAGAATCCTTTTTACTTTTTATGATTATTAAGTTACAAAACGTGTTTTTTATTTCAAATAAATAATGATGATATTGTTATACATATATACGAATATCTTATAAATTGTATACAAGCACATTATAGCACATATATACACATTAACATATTATATTGAATTTACATTGAATCAATGGTGGTTAAGGAGCGGCTGAACTAGAATTTTTTATTATGGAAATGGTTCTAAAATCGTTCTTATTAAAAGCATAACTAAGAAATATTGTCAATAAAACATTTGTGATTTTGGCTGCTAATTACTGTTCTGTATAGCTACTGAGATTTTTAATAAATTTTATGATCTGATTAATTTTCTAAAATTTTTTCAAAGAAATTGTAATCAGTAGCAAACTTATGCTTCCAAATAATTTATTACCTCAAATTTAAATTAATATTGCGTCACTGACTTGCAGAGCAAGTAAATCTATAAACTGGCTAGAGAAAAAGTTGAATACCCCTGTCATGTATTTGCGTCTAATAGATTATTTAAATTGTATTTTATTGAGGAAAATTTTATTATAATTTAATTGAATAAATTGGTTTTCCTTTTTTTTTTAGTATATTATATTCGCACATGAAATATATGTATATATATATATTTGTATATAAAAAAAGAAATTAATGAAAAAATTCAGGTTGAAAGTAATTTTTTTATGAGATTATTTTATTATTCCGAATTATTTATTCTGCAAAAAATATAGCGATTAAAATTGAAGGATTCAATCTTTAAATATTTTAATATTATAATGTAATCAAGTGAAATTTTATAAGAACGTTCTATTTTCCGGGAAACCAGGTTTCAAGTTTTGAATTTTATTAAAATTTTAACAAAATGAGAAAAAATTCAATGACATGCAAACCAAAGTAAAATTACTGATGCTTTTTAATTAAGAAGAGGGTCTACTTCAAGGAATACTCAAGGAAAATGATTTTCGTTCAAAATAAGATGTTTTTAACTGTAAGACAACAAAAATTTCCGAAAGATTTACACATTTATTTAAGAATCGAATAATTTATTTACTCCTTCTGGGCAACTTTATTAGAAATTGTTTTAAATTTTATAATATTTTTGATTACTCTCATGGCATTGGTTTTTTCATAAAGTAGGGTTTTTTTTTTAAATTACCAAAATTGTTATGCAAAACCTACGATCGTATTATTTTATAAAAGGCGTTAATTTTTTTTAAATGAGCGTTATCATAATTTTTATCCAGTCCTGGACAGCATAAACAAAAATTTTGTATAAATTTAATATAAAAACAAAGAAAATTTGTCTGTATGTTGATCTGAATCATTTAATCTGATCAATTTATTTTATTTCAATGTATAAAAGATTGTGGAAATGTGGTAAGAATTGAATTTATGAAAATGATTCATTGCAAAAATATTTCCATATAACAGCTAGTTTGTGCATTCTAAATCAATATTCTAAAATAAAATATATTCATTATACACAAGCATACGTGTATATTTTATACGAGTACAATATTATGTGAGCAAATATTTCACATGTTGATTTTCAAATATTCGAACAAATAGATTTTATATAATTAATTCATACATCCTTAATATTATACAACAGTTTATAAAACCTACGGCTCATTTGTTTATAATAAATATTCTTTCCATTGTTATATTTTAAAAATATTAAAAATGAATTATTATATGCAATTGATTTTCTGATATACAATATTCATTACCACTCAGATATCTGTTATATACAAATTTTAATTTTCATCACGAATAAAATATTAATTATGATTTACTATTACTTTAATTATGATAGCATCATTAGAATATCCTTTTGTTTTGTTTAATGTCACGATAATAAAGGAAATTTTGTAAATTAATTATATCTGTATAATAAAATTATGTTTTAAATAATATTATATAAGAATTAATAATATTTAATAAAAGAAATCGTAATTTGATATACATGGCAAACAATAGTTATTCATGTTGATTATTCAATGCCTGATATTATTGAACTTGGTGACTTTGTTTTTCTAATACAATGTGAACATTTTTCATATTTTTCCTTATATTGTACTGCAAGTTAGGCTGTTGATTTTCCTGGTTTTTGTGTGTCATTACAATGAATTTTGAAAAATCAACAGAGCATTAGTATTATTATAAGGTTTTTAAATATAATTAATGGATTGGAAATAATTGTGCTCAGCTAAAGTTTTGTTTTTCCGGATTACTGGAATGTAATATGGCCACAATAATGATGCCTTGTATGAAATTTAATACCATTTTAAAGTATAATTGTAAGGTTATTCAAAATGAATATAAACAAAGAAATATTGAACACTTTATGTTCGAGCGTTATTTGAATGTAGGAAATTGACTAATTTGAATAGTCATGTAAGATAAGAGTTCAGGTTGTCATCCAAGTCTTTTCTTGTGATCCATACCTATTGTCACAAAAATTAGCACGACTCTTTTTAAATTTGATGTCCGATATATCAGTTATGAGCTTTAACACTATTACGCTTTCAACATTATTCAATGTAATAAATAATTTTTTAATTATCACAAATTTTCTACATATATAGCTTACCTCTTTACTATAATAGTGACATCTACCATTTAATCTTGTTGATGGTATATATTCAATAAAATCTATATAAGGACAATGTGGCAGTAATAATGATAAACCAATAAAACCAGAACTTGGTGGATTTTTACGTATTGGTTCACCAGAAAATATATGTAACATTTGCCATAGATGCCATATTGAACGTGGATCAATTAAATATGCATCATATTTTGGATATTTTTTACGATATTTTTCATAATTTGAAAATAAATCAAAATCAGCAGCATTATTTAACCAATCCTTAAGTGTACTATTATATTTTCCTGGATCCCATGCAGCAATTATTGTATTATGAAAAATTGGTGATTCAGTAAAATTAAATTGTGGTTTAGTCACAACCTAAAAAAAAATAAAAAAATTAATAAAAATTTATTATTATAGTTAAAATAAATAAAATTATTTTAAATAAAATAATATTTTTGAATTACTCATATACATACATAACATAGGTAATTTATTTTAATAATAATTTTAGTTTTCAAATATTTATAAGAGTTTTTTTATTGACAAAATTAGAAAATTAGAATTAATATAAAGAAGTTTCCCTTTCAATTGCATATTAAACAATTTATTAATATTGCTGCGGTGAAAGTAAAAAAATTAATTTAAAATTTTCTAGAGGTGTTTTTGTTTTCAAGGTCCATATTACGTGACGTTATAGAATCATGGAAATTTAAATTTTATGTTTGTATAATCAATTTTATCACATAAAATGATCATTTTAAATTTGATTAATAAAGTATATTTAACTGAAAAAATTTGATACGTGACTAAACACAATAATAGTTTTTTAGTTTTGCTAATATAATGAAAACTAAATGCTAAATTGTTGAACATTATTCATAGTTATTGAAAATTTATTGTAGGTTTAAGTCATAGGCTATAATTTACGAACTTGTATATGATTTTCAGCGATAAGGCTATTGAAAATAATCAAATTTAGTTAATGATAAATCAATTCATAAGAGACTGGAGTTTGTACTCCATTCCATTTAGAAAAACGCACCTTTTCTAGCAGTTTAGATGATCACGTTTCTCAATAAATTCTCAATAAGAACCTTCTGCTTGTGTTATTGTCACGGTTATTATTATGATCCCATTCATATTTCAAACAATGACTCTTTGAGATGTCACACGGCCATCATAATAATTAATTTAAAATTAAAATTAAAACTTAATGGCAACGTCAGTTTGAGTAAAAGGCCAGCCAACCATAGTGACCATGACTCTTAGATTAAAATCATTTCCATATTTCAATTACTTGTATTGATTTCCTATAAATGACTTGCATTATAATTACTAGAATTTATGATTTGACTCTCATGGCAGAGACTCACGGCACGCACTGAATTTTATATGCATATCTAGAATTTAACACAGAAATTCCAGGCTATTTAAAAAAAAATTTAAATAATTTCAATAATGACATTAATGTTGTCTAAAATGTATGTAGTAATCTTGAATCCGTTCACTTATATCAATATTTTAACTTTAAATTAAATTGGTATTTTAATTCGTCGTTATATATCCGATTCCTATTGATTATTTAGACCCCAGAATCATTATAGTTCAGCAAATAAAATATTTTTTCATCAATTCAAAAATTTATTGAATCCTCAGAATCTAATTTTAATGAATTCACTTTAAAAACAGTTTTTCGATTTCAAAAAATTTTTAAAATATTATTTCAATAAATTATTCTAGAAATCAGTAAAAATAATTAATATAAACTTTTCCAATTTAAGACTTATTGAAATTGAATTAATTTCAAAATCTATTATGATGAAAAAAAAATGAAACGGAAATAAAAAGTGACAAGAAAATATAAATTTTGACACAAAAACAATAATTATATTTTATGTTTCTAATTAAAATTTTTTATATTAAAGATTCAGTAGGGTTACCACTCTCAAAAAAAATTTTATGAACCACAAACCAGAAAAATGAGAAAAAATTAGTTAAATCTTAAAGGACCATGGGAAATTCATAGAAATGAGATAAAAAACTTAGGTCTGAGATTTAATTTGAAAATGATAAAAATATAATGTGGGGCAGAAGCTCTGCATTTAAATTTGATGGAGAAAATAGAAAACTATGCGATTATCATTAGATTTTCTGTTATATTTTTAAAAACAAAATGGGACAAGCTAATATTTTAAAAAATTTTAGCCTCATTAGCTGATTTCTTTTATTATTTTGAGTGTTTTTAATTTAAACATTGCAAATATTTACAACATTGCTGCCAAAAGTTTGATTTAAGGGAATAAAATGAATCTGAGGCTTAAACGCTCTTAATTTAAAATGTAGAGTTATCCTTCTGTGTACTTGACTCCACAGGATTATAATAAAAACTAAATGTGAACAAAAATGTAAAAAATAAAACGAAGTTTTGAATAAATTTGTAAAATTTCAAACTGGATCAGTAATGTGGCAACACCGCTTAGTTAACAACATCGTGTCGAGTTTCTATTGTAATGTCTTTTAAAATTTATCAAAATAAATCAATGAGTTTCTTCTTCTAAAAATCTGTAATATAATATGTAACTTGTTATATAAGGAAATAAAATTTTAAGTAATAGCAATAAATTGATAAATTTGGAAAATATTAAAATTAAATCAAAGATTCAATCTTAAAATTATTATTGATTCTTTGTATTTTACATGAAAACAAAATGTGTAAATGGGGTGTGTAGCACCTCATATAATAAAAATTTTACAATGAACAAAGGATATTTATTCAAATGAAATGTTTTCATTGTGCACAAGATGTATAGGCACTCAATACATACTCGTACATAATGGAAGAATTATACACCTTGAAAATAGGAAAAAATTCAAGAGAACAAAATGTATGTATAGAGAGCAATTAAACTTGAATGATTGATTCCTGATTTCATATATTTATGAGTATACTCTTATACAGACTCTTGAGTTCCATCATGCATAACGTGTTATATAATTTATTTATAAATATGTTCATACATGGATGCATAGTAATTTCACAATATAACAATTAAAAGTACACAATATTTTATTCTTTATTGTTTCGAAAATGTGCTTATGGCAATAAGGAATTCAATTTTTATTCAATTATTTTTTCATTATGTTGATGACTGAATGTATTTTGTTTTAAGAAATTTATTTATTTTTCTTTTTTCTAAATAATTGATATTGACTTCTTCATCTTTATTTTTGTTGATTATAATAGTATAACAGTATTGTTTAGGAATGTTTCACACTTGAAATATTTATACACTCAGTGTTTTATATTGATAAAGGATTATTGATTTTTGATTTGGAAAATATTTTGCAAACAAGTGTAATTTTGATTTTTGATTTTGCTCATTTTGTACATCGAAATATTGTTGATTGATTTTCTTTGTGATAAGTACTTTTGAATCTCATGTTAAAGGATAATCCTTCCTAAAGAGATGGATAAGGAAATTATTAGATTACAAAATTATAATGTGCATTGGCACATACAAGGAATAAATTAATTATGTAAATTAGGTGTTAAAATTCATAGATGAAGTAAAAATAGTTCTAAACTCGTATTTTCTCTTGAGATTGTTATCCATTTGTAATCAAATAAAAAATTCATATTTTAGAAGCAGTATCTGAATAGTAATAGCTTACTATAATTATTTTTATCCTTGAATATAAGAATTTTTCTCTATTATACATATTGTGTGGGAAAATATTTTTTCGTACGTACTTTAAATAATATTTCACTTGAAAGTAGAATTTCCAAAGAATCTCATTTTGTTATATGAAAATAGTTTTTAATGCAGTAAATATTGACTGATTGTAAATTATTGTAATAAAGTTTTCAGAGACTTTCCCAATTCGAAGGTACTTAAGGAGTTCTAAAAGAGGAGAGAAGGAGGATGAAATTTTAAGAAAAAAATATGGATTTGATAATCTTCTAATCTACGCCACATACAAACGCTACAAATTTTAATAAGTTTTTAAAAGTTTAAAGATGACATGATTTTGGACAGCGATCAACTGATTTTTATTGTTATCAAAATATAACAGTTTACATGTTATAATACACATTTTATTTTAATTGTTTTTGCCAATGTGTTTGTACGACATATTGTGAAAAGGTCTCAAAAATGTTCATAACTCTTATTCATCAAGATAAATAAAATCGGCCTTATGAAAGTTCAAGTACTGAAAACTCATGAACAGTATAACGATTTAGCTTCTCACTAAAAGGAAATATTTTAATGAATTAACACTAATTTAAAGGCTAATATTTTAATTTTGAAATTTATTATACGAGTCATACATACTACGCTATATTACCAACAGAGTCCTCTCTTAAATTTCTGAATTTATGTTCTTGTTAGGCTTAACATGTACTAAATTTGATATTTCAGCTTTTTTTACTGAGACAACAGAACAATATAGTTTTTCAAGAAATTGGGCCACATTAACTAATGCCTTCTTAAATAGTTAACAGTGCAATTTTAGCCAAATGTAAAATTACTTGTAGAACACATTTTTAAACTTTTGTAAACTTCTTTCTACGAAATGCGGTAGGTCATGTGCTGACCACATAAAATTCTTTTTTAAATATTCAATAGTATAAAAACATTTAACAAAAATTAAATACGCATAATATATGTAAAATTCAATATCATGTTCTGTTGATTTAGGAAATGAAATAAAAAAGAAAAAAATAAATGCTGTAAAATTTTACTATAGAACTTTTACATCCGATAAGTATGTAGATACATATGTACATAATTTTCAGTAACATACACAAGTGTAATAATGATGATACGTTATGAAAATGAATACATTTAGAGAGTCTCTAGAGAAATTTTAAAATTGTAATTTTGAACTCTACACATTTTTTTTTGTATAAAGTGCGATATATGGATATTAAGGTTTGTAAAGACTTCTACAATTATCGTTTGTATTAAAACATTGTCATAATTATGAACAAGCATAAGTTTGTATGAAATTAAAGTAAACATCTAGAAAAATTAAATTTCAGTTAACAGATGAATATTATTCTCTAAGAACAAACATGGTCAAAAATCTAAGCAGAAATAAAAGTTTTGAACATCTCTGAATATGTTCGAGAAATTTTATTAGTTTAATAATAAATATCAATTTAACGAATAAAAAATTTTTGCAAATTATATTTTATCTTGAATAATTCCCATAAACCACTAATATTCCGAAAAAAATTAGAACTATCCATCACAGTTGAAGCAGTATAGGTCTTTCAGTATACTATGGAGAAAGTGTTAAATTAATGTTTATAAATATAAGAAAATCTACGTTAAAATGTCCATAAAATAGGATGAATTTTTTCACTTCAGCCTGAAATTATCTGATAAAAGTCTTGCCATTTAAAAGAAACAAAATAAAAATCAGTTGATCGCTGTCCAAAATCATGTCATCTTTAAGCTTTTGAAAAAATATGGTAGAAAATCTGACGAGAACAAAATAATTTCCATGTCAAAAAAAGTTTATATTTTAAAATCTCATCAGATTCAGATTTAATAAAGATTTCGAATTCGTAGATTTTATCTTATGCCCAAAACCAATTTAATATCAGAAAATGAGAAAATAATTTATAGTCGAGGTCTGTCAAAATATTTTAGACAATTTTATGGCATAGGCCTAAAATAGCTTGCCTACAAACTATGCTTAGTAAGCAAAATTCGCCAGTATTTATTCGCCATTATTCATTTGAAACGCAAATAAATTAAAAATGCTAGAAAGAATTTTTTATTGATTCCCAGCAAATTTTAATACTTGAATTGAAAAAAAAAATTGAAAATAAATAACAAATTTAAAAGGATCCCGAACTATGTCAAGATGTCCTGTTAATTTTGGAATTTCCTGTAATTTTTAAATAATCTATTTTCATAAATAAATAATAAAATCATTCCAAAACATGAAAAACAAAAATCAGCAACAAAAAAATTTTTGTAATAAAATTAATTTTTTTTTTTCATATTTTATGAAATAAAAATAAAAATAACCATCAGAAAAACGGCGATTATCATGAATATTACGGCAACATATTTTGAATATTAATTAAGTCATTGTGTAGTACGACTACGGTTTGTTCTCTATAGCACTGTATGTAGTAAAGTTTAGTTATTGGCATATAAATAAAATGCGCAACAAAATTATAATATTTTTTTTTTTGCAATTTTATTCGAGTGCATTTTCAACATTACGCCGTTTAGAATTACAATTAATAAAAGTGCCGTGAATTATTATTATTAAAATTAACAATATTGAAATTGAATATTGTATGCAGAATTCGTTTATCACAATTTTATTAAAATATTAAAATGAATATAACCTATTTTTTTTTTAATTTTTTTTTTTGTTTTTATTGTAATTGCGCGATTTAGAGATACATTAGATTAGATTAGATTATTTATTTATTCATCTAATTAACATTATTTTATAATGTTCACCTTTTAATTAATTAATTTAAAATTAATAAGATATTGATCAATAATATAATTAATTTGGTTTATATTATAGGTAATGGATAATTTTATGATATTTTCATTTCCGGTTTGGAATACATTTGATTGATGTTACTTAAATGTTAAAGATTTCCGGTTACAATTTTGTATTAAAAGTATTCATGTATATAAGAATTTTAAATTTGCATAATCAAAATTGATGAAGTTCAAGAGATGAAAGGAAATTAAGGATAAAATAATGAATTTAGAATAAAAAACATAGGACACTATTTTATTGTTTGATTTTCGTAAATGAGATCAAATATTTTCATGGAGTTTTTTTTTGGAACAATTAGAGTTATATTGAAAGTTGTATAGTAGCCAATGAATTAAAATAATCATGCATATTTCATATGCATATAGGCAAAAGTTGCTTTATTGCCAAAATTTCTTTCAAAACACTAAATTTGAATGAACTTAACATATACTTTCAAAACTTAAATTTTTATATTTTAAACAAATTGTATGTAAATGTCTAGACGCATTAAAGATGGTGACAAAACCGTCTTCAGGTAAATTGTTTAAAATCTAAATTAATTTCTAATTTCTAATAATATTTTCGTTTCTATTTTAAAATTCTTATCATATATGTATGATATAGATTAATTATGTTATCATTATATAATAATTCAATAAAATCACATGATTCTTTTATGAACTTTTAAATTTACATATACACACTTATATAACAAACGAATACCATAATTAATTTATTAAATTCAATATCAAAGCCTATACCACCTTGTTGAATAGAATCGCGTCAATAAAATAAAAAGCAACATAGTATTTTAAGGTTCCCTCTCACTTTTTTTATTTTGTATTAAATATTAAATTTCAAAGTCAAAAATAAAAATATTATAAAAAATCTTACTTGAGAATTGACAACTCTAATTGTTGTTTTACTGCCAACATCCACTTCATATCCTTCTACTGGTGCATTATTGAATCTCATAACAATATCATGATGGTCTAGAAATTCCAAAAAAAAACAAATATATAAATAAAATTAATAAATAAATACGATATTGTAATTTGAATAAATTGTTGTTAACATCGAAAATTAAAAAAAAAATAGCAAAATATTTTGTAAAAAGAATAAAAATAATAAAAAAAAATACAATGCTAAATGTACGTGAATATTTTCAGAACCGCATATATGAAGCTTCTATAACAAAGTTACAAAAAAATTCAATAAATTTGTTTTTAAAAAAAAAAATATAATCGTATATTTGCCACCTGGATAAGGTGAAATTTTTTTGGTTTTTACTCTTGTATTTGTTATTATTTTTATTTTATTTACATAAATAATTTTTAATTTTAATTAAGAGAAGATTTGTAAGATAATTCAATTTGATTTATATTGCAAATGAAACATGTTAAATAAAAAATTTATCAAGCTATATAATGAGAGAGTCATCATAATTTTAATTTTAATCTCTTCTCTGTTTAAATTTATTCAAATATTACAGATAGTGAGAACAATATCACCCATACGATATGTAATTTATATGTAAATTAAATTTTGTTTTGTTTTAATATTAAAAATATAAATATTAATAACAAAGGAATAAATATTAAAATAACCGTAATGGTGAATATTGAATATGGAAAAAATAATTTAATAATATTTATTAAATAATTATTTTTACATAAATTACAGAATTTTTTGTTAAGTATTTCAAAAAACGAAAAGCGTGATTGTTATTTAAATAAATAAATTAAAGGTACCTATATAAGTATCAAGAATACTTGCTTATATAGATACATTATGTGTATTATGTGTTGTACATATATGAGTGATAAATTTCAAAAGACAAGTTCAAGTTAAGTTACGTATGTATATATATATATATATGCAATTATAATAATATTTTAATAAATTATCGTACATTCGCGTAAGTAATTGAAAGCATAATACTAAAATGATGGTATACAGTAAATCCCAATAGACAAGTCCAATAGAATATAAATAAGTGTTAAGCATTAATTTATGACGAGTCAAACAAGATTTGTTATACAAAGAGCTTACATGTTTTTAAATTATAATAGTAAGCAGTCTATATACAAAAAAATATACTGATATATGTATATTATTTATTATACGATATGTATGTCAGAGTTTTTTTTTTAAATTTCTTAGCTCAAGAAGAGAGCACTGTATACGTTTATGGAAATTAAATAGTAATGAAAATTAAATTGATTGAAGAGTATTACTATTAATTAACTAATAAAACAATATAATGTAATTAAATTTCTTTATAAAGAATTTCGATTGTATATAGGAGAAATGTACATTGAACTAAATTAAAATGTCTGCAGGAATTACGGTATATCATACAGTTATTGAATTGCAAAATGTAAAATTTATTAAAAATATATTTATTTAATAAATTATTTGGGATGATGAATATTATTTTTCATATATTTTGCTTTAATCAGATTAAGATTAATAAACAATGCAATACAAAATAAATTTATTTTCTTCTTTGAAAGTTTTTCAAACTCTATATATATGATTATATACAACGTAAGGCCACAAAATTTTTTTTTAAGTGTAATTTACTCGTAATAATGAATATAATCATAAAATAGCTTTGTTTTAAGAATACGAGTCTGCACAGTATTATTAATTTAAAAACACGAGGATTCCAATATCAATTTCGTATAAAGGCAGTATATTGACTCAGAAAATATAATATTGATTCTTGATGTCACTAATATAATATTTTGCAAAACTATTATACTTGTTATATAGGTATTTGAAACTGTTTAATCTACTATTTAAAACTGGCAATAAAACCAAATATAAAGAAAAATCTTTAGAGAGTAAAACCCAATATAAAGAATAAGTTCACATTAAAAAATAGGCAACCGTATGTCCTCTAAAAATATGATTGAAAATGATTTACAATTAATACAAACGTGCATAAATTTGCGAATTTTTAATTTTATATAAAATTATCTTTCTTATACTTACCAATAAATTTTCCTAATTTAGAGCCAGCCATTGATCCAGCACTTGATATTATTGCACAATTTTGTATATTTTTGATATGTTTAAAAAGTTTCTTCTTTGGGAATAATTTACCCAAATAAACTTTATTAAATGGATGATCTTTACGTTTTAAAATCCTCACGTTTGCTCTTAAATTTATATGAATTTTTATAAAAAAATTTTTAATTTTAATTTTTTGTTTACGAATTAAACTCACCTTTTAGCTAAACATGTTGATGGAAAATATCTTAAATCAAAAAATAAACTTTTAGCTTTTGTATCGACATTATAATAATTCGATTCATTTAAATAAAATTGCATTGATTTCTTTAATTCCGTGTATATACGATTACGATATAAATTTGTTCTATTTTTACATTCAATTGATTCTGGTATATTACAACGATATACCTTTGGATCCATTGTTAATGGAATATTTTTTGATAAATTAAAACTTGGTCTAGGTGATAATTTTGTTTTATTAACAGCTGGTTTTTCTTTACCCTCAACAATATATTTTTCAAGTGGATTTTGTTTTACATGAAAAACACTTCTTGATGAACGTATCATAGAATTTTTTGGATTATATAATGATGAGGATGATGGTTTATCTAAAATTATATAGGAAAGATGTAGAAAAAATATTTGTGGATTATATTATTGTTCACTTTATATTCAGTAATAGATTTAATACAATATAGGTTTAAGTTAATTCAAAGGTAACAATAATATATATTCGAATTCTGTTAATAGAAGTGGAATGTTGTCGGGTTATTGATTTTAAAACAAAATTAATTTATAATTAATATCACTAAATTCAGAACATTGTCCTTTAGTCAGTATTTATAGTATAATTTTAAAATTTAATTCGCAAATCAAAGTATCATAACGTAAAATTAATTTCATTATTTCCTGTAAGGCGTAAGATTCTTGTGCAAATATTTAGAAATTTTAAATGATAAACTATACTGAATTTAACTACATTGTAAATTCAACATAAATGTATTTTGTTTTGAAAATTTCTTATAGGCAAATTTTAAACTTAAATATGTTTCTAATATGGCCAAAGAATTTTAAGTACAATTTATGCAAGTCAGCAAGAAATTATCATTTTTCTAGCAGTAAGTTGTCTTAGAATCGTACTTCTATTAAAATCCCTAAGAATATAATATAGTATTTAGCTCATACTTTTGAATTAAATATAAAAAGTAAGTAAAATTTAACATATTTAAACATTAATTTCACATTTTACTAGACCGAAAAAAATTTTATATAAAATTAATATCAATTGGTTTCCCAACATTTTTATCTGCCTATACCCTGGCTTAATTTTAAATAAATTTTATTAATTCTTAAAAAATAATTGATTTCAATATTAGATTTCCTTGTCCATTTTTTATGAATTTAACAGAAAGATCTTAACAATTTTGCACTGTTGTTTTATTTATTTTTAAAAATTAGAAATTTTGCTACTACAGTCTTAAAATTTAATAAAAAATAATAAAGTATTTGATTTGAAAACGCGTAAATGTTGTATAGAATAAAAATATTGTAAAAAATTCACCACACTTATGGATATCAACAGATGATTTTTATTTAGAAATAAAAACAAAACAAAAACAAAAAAAATCCCATTATTTTTTCTCCTTTTTTCTTTTTTTTAATATACAGACCTTTAAGAAAATTTGGTTCGAATCTTTGCTTAACAAATTCATTATACATAGAAATTTCCTTTTCATATTCGTTAATATTTTGTATTGAAATTTTATTGCATAGATTTGGGCGAAAATTATAAATAAAAAATAACACTACTATATGAAAATAATTAAAATTGTAGAACATTGTGGAAAAAGAGTGAAAAAATCACTTCACTTGTTTATTATTTTTTATTTTTTTTTAAATTTTTATAATTTTATTAAATTTTTTTTTTAAATATTTTTTAAAATATGTTTTCTTCTTTTTGACATTTTTCTTTGTTTGTAAAATAAAATTTGAATTCAAAAATTCACTTTAACTGTAATTAAAACACACACACACGCATATACACTTTTTGAAAATTTTTGGTGGGTTTTGGATTTTTTTTTTCTTATTTTATATTTGAAACCTTTATTGTTTTTGTATCTAATTTTGTTTTTGTATTTTTAAACGGAAACCAAATTTTTACGAGTTAATAGAAGGCGATGTTATCCGGATGGTGATTCTCGCGTATCTAAAGTAAAAATTCATCTTGCAAGGATATTTAAAAGGATGTTTTTTTAGTTTTTTAGTTTTTTCTTGTTAATTTCATGTATTTTGGTTTTTGTGTGGTGAAGATTTTTGATTTCATTTTACATGAATTAAAGGCAAAAGAGAGAGCTTTTTTTCTATATTGAAAGAGCTTTGTTACAAAAAAAGAAAAAAAATATAAACAAGAAAATTTTATTTTACCATGGTTAAGTTGATTATAAAGTTCATACGGATATCGTATGAGTGTGTATGTGAATTGAAGTAAATAATTTCATTTTGTATACCTATATGAGTTTTGATCCTGTTTGTTATCTTTATATAAGGATTTTCACGTGTTTAAAAGTTTTAGATATTTAACTTTTACTAATTGGGATATAAATCTGACTATATGGTTTTAAGGTTCTTTGTTATTGTTCTCCTTTAGATGGCTTTTATGACTCCAAATATAAATAATAATGTAAGAGAAAATTTTGAATAAGAATATTAAGTTGCCTTATAAAGAATAAATTTCGCTTTGGATTATGTAATTTTCATTTCGTTAAACGGAAATGATCTTCTATTGGAATTGGATCAGATGAAATTGATTGCTATTAAAGCGTGTAGGACACACAAGCTAATTGAAATTTTGTGAAAATTGTGGCATAAGAAATTTTATACGAAAAATATAATAATTTTAATTATTAAATATAAAAATTTCTTATTATCTAAGTAAATATTGAGTCTGAGTTTTGGCTAGCAAATTTATAAAAGACACAATTTTAGTTATTCTATTTAAAATTTTTTCTACTTTTCATTACTGAGAAGGAGGGCTCAAAATCCAAAATGTCACTAAGTATTTTAGGTGTACTTTTGTCTGAACGTATTATATTATATCAAAACTACTTGATGGTACTCTTGATGCAAAATAAAACTTCGAGAGTACTATGGAATCTCAGCCGCCCTATATATACGTAGGAAGCCTATATAGCATCATATTACCGTTTATTACAATTTTTTTTTGGAAAATTATTATAGCTATAAAGAGATGAATTTAGCTTTATTATGCCTATAAGTATGTATAAAACAATATAAATATGTATATCCTATAGTTCAATAATATTATGTTTCACACTTGAAGTACATATTTGTTTAGTATAATGTATTAACGTTGTAAAATTTTAAAAGAATTATGAAAATTATGTTTTAAAGAGAAACAAAAAAAATACGAAAAAATATTTGAATACATAAGAACATAATTACACGTGTACAAGTATACATAAGTAAGTATAGTGGAACAGGTAGGTACATTATCTTTTCATTTTTGCTTCTTTTTATTTTGTAAATCTTCTCTTTAACGTAAATAGGTACTTAAATAAGAAATTATATTTATGCTGATGTTTGTTAATTCTTTAAATATAAAAATAACTATAAACATATTTTTAATATTCATTTCATATATTATATTGTGTACTTGACTTTGCAGTTAGATTCATCATATTTTGTACATAGACAAGAGATTCTTAAATATTTCGTTTTGCATTGATGTAAAGCCCGATTTAATTTTTAAAATACAACATGCATGGTAAGTCAAAATGTTGTTGTTTTCTTGTAAGGTAGGAAAATATTTTTTCTAGAAAAAAATAAGGTGAAATCTATTAAGATTCAATTGTTTAAAAAATTTTAGACATTCTCACCATTTTTGTTGTAAAAATTTTAACGAAAAATATTAAGTAAAGATAAGATGAGTTTAGGAATTCGGCAAATAAAATTTCTGTACCTAGAATGTACTCGTATTTCCCCCTTATAACACAATTTTTAATCGATCCATTTCGGGTTCGAAATCCCCGACGTTTGGGAAGCCCCGACATACATGGCATTATATTATGCAATATAATATCATTATCTACTTTATATATGTATATAATGTGTGCTTTTTCTATTTTTTTTGTTGATGATGACTTAAAAATTTATTTGCATAAAATTTACATTACAACATTCCATTGTATTTTGGTTGGGTTAGGTATTATACAAAATTATGGTTAGGTGCAAGAAATTAGAAGAAATTTTTAGAGACTATGCTCCCTAAGGTACAATTATGTATTATCGAGATGACAAATATTAAAAAGTTATTTTAAATATTTTTTAAAAATAAGAACGTTGTTAAATATTTAGAAATTTTATAAAAAATAAAAAAATCGAAACAGAAAGTTCATTTTTAGTAGTGTCTTTTTGTGCTACAGTCTTAATCTCAATATTATTCAGAATTTTTTAATTAATCGTTGATTCTGGAAATTGAAGTAGACAATATTGGAGACTTTCCTGGCTGTCTTCTTTTATTATTTAAATTAATTATTCAAAAAAAAAAATATTATAAAAAAAAAATTTTAGAATTTGATATTAGATTTATTGATTTATTAGAATTTGGCATTAGTATTTTAAATATTCTAATATAGAATGATTTCTAAATTGCACATAAACATCATCGAATAAATTAATTAATTTCACTTTCTATAAAGGAATTTTAGTTAAGTCATAAACCATTTAAATTTTATAATATAACAATATTGAGAATAAAAAATAAACATAATTATTATGTATAACAACTTTTAACAGTATAAAATAAATTCTGTTATACAGTTAATTGTACTAAACTATATTGCATTGAAACACTGTACTAAAAATTGAATGAAGCAGTTACTTAAAATAACGGTTAATACGAGATGTTTTATGCAATATATTTGTTAACAATAAAACCAAAACGTTTTAAGTTAAATTGAACAAACAGAATATTTTGAGGAAATTTAAGTCAATTTTTGCATTTTATTTCCAAATAATGAAAGAGATTTTTTTATATCTTATAAAATAATTTTATAATACATGCTATAGAAATTAAAATGGAATTAACTATAAACGGAAAATATTTAATTTAATTAAAATTTGGAATTAACTATAAACGGAAAAATAAATTTAATAAAAAAATTTAAGTTGAGTTTCAAGCCTTTCACGTTTATGACCAAAGACAATACTATCAATTGTTCAGTGAATATGTTGAACGTTATTTCATTCATTTTATAAAATTGACTTGTATAATAAGTTTTTTTTTTTTTGTTTAAATGTTTAAATTTGAATTTATCAAATTTTTGTTAATTAATTTCTTAATTTATCAAATTTTGTTAATTAATTAATTAAAATTTAGTCTTCCAACGACTTAACAAATTAACATGAGAATTTCAATAATAAACCAGCATCATCCTAAAATTACATTTGTTTTTTTTTTTTTTTAAAGGAGGAGGGGCCGGGGCTCCGGTTACATGAGCACTATGTCTAGGCCTCTGACGAATCTCAGTATTATGTTGATTGTATAAGAACGCCAAAGGGGTCGCAAAACTTAAGCTGGCAAGGATTGGCAAGGATCTTACAGCTGCATAGCTGATGCTCTACCGTTTCATACTCTTCCAAGAAGAGATGTTACAGTTAAATCCCCACTTTATCCATCCTTTTCAGATGAACCATGGTAAGGCAATGTCCAGTATTACTACTAACCTCAACTCAAATCAATTTTTCGATTAAATTTTTCGATATCTAGTCTTTTTTTTTTTTATTTTCTATTAATATTGCACAAATATTGCACTATTTGTATACATATTCACATAAAAAAGAATCTAAAAGTTTGTACAACTAATATAGTTCAGTGATAGTTTAAAAAAAAAAAAAATTTTTTAAAGAAAAGATTTTTTAATGAATATGGCAACCTGTTGCTTCTAACAACTTTTACCAAAAATATCGAACCCTTTAAAACCCTATTAATATACCAAAAATTTAAAATCGATCAAATGTGACCATACAGAAGATTATACTGTAATGAATTCAGCTTCATTTACTACTTTTGTTTTCATTTGTTGTTTGGAAATCATTCCCGCATGAAAGGCTACCATATCTATGCACATATTTACGTCTATGTATATATTTTACACCAGTGTTACATCTTAGTATAACATTGTTTCTCTGTTCTCTTTTTAAATTTTTCTCTTTTCAATTTTTTTGTTTCTTTATGCAATTAAAATGATGTAGAAATCAAATTATCTGTATAACATTAACCGAACTGTGAATTCTTTTGACCGCGTAGTTTACTCGTAACTGCTATTCACCTGTAATTCAATTCATATTACCTCACGTTAAATAAGTATCAAATAAAACAACATGTAATTTTAAATTTTTTTCTAACATTTTAATGCTCTTTGAAATCGAACCAACACGTACATATTTTTTCTTATAAGGTATATTTATAGTGTCTTCTCTATATATACCATAATTTTTGTGTTTTTTTTTTTTGTATTTTTTTTTTATTTTTAGTTTTATAAATTATATTTTTTATCTTAAATATTTGTTTTCTTTTTTTTTTCATTTTTTTTTCATATTTTTTAAATTATATAATTTTTAAAGTATAATTTATTTTTTTTCATTTTCAATTTGTGTTTTTTTTATGTTTTTTTTTTTTGGATTTTTCTATATTGTTTTTTTTTTTTTAAATATAATTTTTAAATTTTTTTTCTTTAATTTATTTTTTGTTTTTTTTTTTTCTTGTTTACATTAGAGTGTTTGTTTTTTTTTTGGATTTTTGTTTTTTTTTTTTATTTAATAACATCGTTACACATTCATTCCATACACAAAAAGACTCAAAAAATTCGCTTAAAATATTTAAGTTTTTTTTTTCTTTCATTTCTATTATAAATTATTCTCATTTTTTTTTTTATTTTCATAATTATTATTTTCAATTGTTTTTTTTCCATGTTAATTTTCTTCATATATATATATATATATATATATATATATATAAGTATTGTTTTTTTTTTTTTTTGGTATTTTCTCATATTTTTTTAATATTAAATAACGAAAATCATAACATTCACACATACTTACACACAGGCACTCAATTTCTATAATTTTTTTTGCTTTAAAGATTTGTTTTATATTATTTATTTATTTATTTATT